CCCTTCCCCCTCCCTCTTCCCCTCTGTCTCAGTGTTTCCTGGCAGAAGGAGAAAACCAACTTTCCTGTCTTAAAATTGTTTTTAAATGAATTTGTGGTGGTTCAAAATGTTCTGCTTTTATAGATCATCACCTTGGCCCTCCAGGGGATGGAAACATAGCGGGCTCCTAAAGGAAAGAGCAAACTTACTCATTTGCTATCATGTCCTATGATGTCCATGTATGTCTGAGGAACTAACTAGTGACAAGAAGCAGTATGTCCATCTCGGAGGGCACTTTCCCAGATGGAGACGAGCACAAATAGGTGTTCATACAGGCACTTCCCGTAAATTGTTATTAATCTCCACAACATGCAGTCTGTGAGGCATTATCTGCGTTTTGCAGATGAGGAAACTGTGGCTGAGAGGCATTTAGTAACTTGGCAAGTAAAATATAAAAAGCTGGAGATGAACAATTAGATTAGGAATCTGATATGAGCAGTCATTTGACATCACTTGTTTGTAACTAGCTTGCTGGTTCCATCTGCTTTCTTTCTAAGGCCAACTGCAAGCAAATGCTTACTGTGAAAATCCAGATATAGTATTGATTGGCAACAAGGCAGACCTGCCAGACCAAAGGGAAGTCAACGAACGGCAAGGCCGGGACCTGGCCGATAAATACGGGTAAGTCCGTTACATGGCGATGCCATCTGACCTTGCACACCGGTGCATAGTAATGGGGCAGGGACACAAGGTTGATGCTACAAGGAATCCCCTGGAGTCAAGAATGGCACATGAATTAAAAAGGTCTTCCAGAGGAATGTATGTGATATTTTAAATCAATTAGTAATAACAGCAGCTAACATTTACTGAATACTTATTATGTCCTAGCAACTGTTCCTAGACTTTAACTCCTTTAACTCCTCATAACCATATGTAGAAGGTCTAGAGTTATCTCATTTAAATATGAAGAATTGAGGCACAGAGAGATTAATAACTGAGGGGAGGCCATACAGCTGGTAAGCAGCAGAGCTTGAATTCAGCCCAGGCTGTCTGAGATCAGAACTCATGTCCTTCAACACAGCATGACTGCTTCTCAATTAATAGCTGCAAACTTCTAAAGGCAATACCTGACGTGGACATAATATTGCCATCTTTATCCGAGGTGAGTTTAAATGGTAGATTAAAAATTTAAAAACACTCCATGCAGTTATAAATTGACTTCCAAATCAGACTTTGTCATTATTTCTTAAATGTAAAGCAGTTTCATCACATCTGCCAACGTTTTGGGTTCTCCTTGAGAGCATTAAAAATGTACACATATTCTTGAAACTTTTGCTTCCAAATAAGCATAGTCTGTATTCACATGACTATCCTTCTCAGTGCCAGCTTAATTTCTAAGTCAGACTTCTAGATAATTGATTGCAAGGGAAATAATGTTGATCGCCAGTTTAGGCATTTTTAGCCTCTAAACATTTAAAACATTGCTGTAGTGCCTCAACTTCAAGTTCCTGAGTACCTCCTGTATCAGTTTTCTTGCCCACAGTACTGGTTATACTCTGAGAAAAAACAAGGGTGCTTTCCAGCCACGCCAGCCAGGCCGTGCTGACGGTGCAGCCCGTCGGCCGCGCTTTTACATGTGTGACCCACTAGTGCGTCTCCTCTGATCCCTCCTCTCAAACATGTTTGCCATCTCTTCCACACCAGCATCCCGTATTTTGAAACGAGTGCGGCGACTGGCCAGAACGTGGAGAAGGCCGTGGAGACTCTTCTGGACTTAATCATGAAGCGGATGGAGCAGTGCGTAGAGAAGACGCAAGTCCCCGATGCCGTCAATGGTGGAAACCCCGGGAAGCTCAGTGGGGAGAAACCGGCAGAGAAGAAGTGTGGCTGCTAGACTCGCAGGGACTCACCACCAAGAACCCCACCCGAGTATTTCTTCCCCAAACAGCGACAGACCACAGAATTGTTGTTGAGTGGGCCGTGCGTAACGGCATGTCTTGCTTTTTCTGCCAGAAAGTCTGTTTTAAGAAACCAAAATAGTCAACATTACTCAAAAGAATTGACCAGTTGTTTCTGAGGCCCCTTCAAATAAGATCAAAGATTTCCAAATGTGCTCTCAACCATCATGGACTCCCAGTTTGTATTTCTTACAAAGAAGATAAGTGTGTAAGGGACTACACAGGATGAAATAACAGTGAGTTTCAAACAAGAACAAAAATTACCCTGTCACATTGGAGAAAGGGATAGGCTACCTACCAAAGGCAGAACATAGAAAGATGATTTTTAAAAAAGATTGGGTTTACTTCTTATATAGAATCTGATTACTACTTTTAGGTTTGCATTGGGGAAACATAGTTAAAAATGGGTACACAATAAAGGATTCTAAATGGATCATTAACAATGACATTACTTTGTACACCCAATAAGCAATGCTAGAATGACTAAATTATCACTGAGGTTATGAGAGGAGGAATGTCAGACTTCTGCTAAAATGTAGGAAATTATATAATAATGCCATTTTTATATTCTTAATAAGTGGCAGATAGACAAGAACAAGATTGTGAATGACAACATACAAGAGAAATGCCCTGGGAGGAAAATGAAAGTATGGGAACATGGCATTTGGACAAATGAAATTAAATGTATCTGTTACAGATGTCTGGAAGAGTCAGCCAACTTTCACGCAAGCCAATTAGAGGTTGACATTATCAGTTGGGATTAAGAGAAGATCCAGAGGTTCCCATTTCAAACAAAATTTTAGAAATCGGTTCAGTGTTTGGCTTCACATTTCATTTTTCTTAGCAAATAGTGATAAACAGTCCCAAGAACAAATTAAAGGTTGCTGTTTATTAAGTATCTCTTTTTAAAAATACAGTCAAGAAAAACTATTTCACCTTAATTTCTCTTAGATAAATATGCTGGTTATGTGAAACCAAAAGTGACTATTAATCATGGGTTTATTTTCAATTTATAAAAGCACTAGAAACTCTAAATCACCTTTCTCCCCTCTAACCCACACCTACCCCTGGTTTTGAATCCATTGTAAAGATACAGGCATGACACTTTGTAGACCAACAACTTCAGAATAATTATGGATCAATTTTGTGGTCACTCTGAATTTTCATATCATTAATTACATAAAAATTGATGATAATTCATGCCATATTACACTATATTTATACTTGTTTTTATTGTCTACCGCAGAATGCTCATAGTTTACCTATATTTGGGGATTGGGCAGGAATGGAAGTGTATCATATCTCCCCAAAAATTGGTTAATCACTTAGTTTTTTTCATGAAAAGTTGCCTTTTCTTTCTAAAGATGATCTCAAAAGTTCTTTTTCCATTGGCCTATTCTTATCATTGTGTCTAAACTAACATAATCAATTCCTATTAAACCATTATTTAACTATTTCAGTGAATTTTATCAATAACAAAGGTATTGCTTTTTAAGTTTTCTCTTTTTATTATGAGTATATGAATTTTCTACAGAATGATTCCTCTTACTATACAATTTTGCTAGTTAAACTTCATTTTTCCAACTCAGTGCACCTTTATTTTGTTAAGTTACAGACACTGGAAACCCTAAACCCAGCTCCCCCACCCCTTAACCTCTGCCTACCAACCTCCATCTGGTAGGGAATCAGTTTTAGTAACACAGATGCAAGGGAATGTCTATAATGCTCCTAGTGAGGACTAGACCCAGAAATGTGCCAGGGATCAGAGTAATCTGGAAGCTGTGATGGGTTAGCCCCTTGTGAAGTTTGTGGCGTTTGCTGCCCAGTTCCTCTGACTTCTGCAGTGCAATGCCAGCTCCTGGGGTGACCACGCTTGGGTATTCCCTCCAGTGCTGTTCTTCCCCATGATGTTCCTCATGACCTCAGTGCCTGTGCCATGAGGATGGAAAGCTATTAGCTAACATGAGAGATGCTTCTTTTGGAAGAAAAATGAACGGAAACAATGCAACTATTGCTATAGCAAAATTTGGGGAACTTTTGAGGTCAATATCAATTTCTTATTTGAATCTAGATTGTGATATACCCTGAATTTCCACAATAGGGAATGTGTAGCCTCTATAAAGTCCTAAAGGTATTCTGTTTTGGATATGTCTTTTCATTTTCCAGTTTTATGATTGATATACTTATGCCAAAATTCTGTCATTGTCAGTTATTTAAGAAGCATTTATTCGGGCTCTATTTTAAGACTGTCACTTGATAGTTGCAGCTTGAAGCAGAGGGTGGTGATGCCCATAATTATAGAACCACATCTGCAAAAATAATAATTGTTGGGTAATAATCTCAAGGAGGACAAAACTTAAAACAGACAAGAAAATTAATTTATAATAGTGTTCTATTTATAAAAACTTGATCAAAAAATATTTTCTCTGTCAAGTTTGACATCTGACCCCAAATTTTGTGTTAATACTAATAGAAATTCTTTCTCTTATTATTTCCTAATTATTCTGTGTTATTTATTTTACAACCTCAAATTCATTTGGGGCCCTGAATTATACAGACTGCTTTAAAGAATTGCATAGCCCCTTTAACCCATAGCAACATGTATTTTTAGCCAAGGTGAGTTATCTCCCAAATTCTCTAGTAAACCAAATTGTATTTTGGAAAAATATTTAAAGTATACATAAAATCCCTTTCTGGTATAGAAACCATTTCTGGAGTGTTTACTCTGCTTCGATGTTTACATTGCTCTAACACAGTGCCTCGGATACCTCTGTGACCAAATTTATCTCTAACCACATAGCTCATTTCCTACAATGTCATATTCCAGGAAGGTCTCAGAGACACTAACACAGCTAAAGGTCTTTGATGTCTTCAGCAAAGGGTTCAAAGGTGTTATGGGAATCTGGAGCTCATTACTGCCATCTCCTGGTATTCTAGCTCACTTCTCCTGGAGTGAGCATTACTTGAGACTTAACTGATTAGGTACAAGGCTACCTTTCCATGTAAACCAAGAAAACTCCTTTGAAAAAGGTATCAAAAATAGTTGAGAGAACACAATGTTTGTCTTGGTATGATGAGGGTGACAGGTCACAAATCAGCAAAGAAAATATTAAATGCTGGGAGTCCAACTTGTAGGCCTCTACCTAAGAGTTTTAAAATTCTTTCAAGTCCCACTCTAGCCAGTTTGCTACCATTTCCATTTATCAGCTATCACACTGCAAAAAATTCAAAGCCAGCATTTTCTAAAGTAAAAAGTGTATTTTATGTGTTGTTTTTAACCAGATGGACCATTCTTTGTATCAGGGGATGTCTTTCTTATGCTTTTAGTGTAAGCTATCTGCTGCCAATCAGTACAAGTCGGACAAGCTGGGCGAGAGTTTTAATCAGCCTTTTTAAGAAAGAGAAGCTTGACCATAGAGAAGGACATGACTGTATTAAAAATAATTTACTACATGGCCAGATATTCTTTAAACTGTAAACTGAGTCCATTGGAAATCAACAAATTTGATGAAGCTCATATATATCTTCACCAATAGAGTGAGCGCAGCAGTTAGAAAGAGAAATGCTTTGTGTAATAGATAAAGTGTACCACCAGGTACAGAATATAACCTGGAGACTTGTGTCTGTGAAACAAGATTGTTTACTGCTCTGTATCTCTGTTCACCTCAGTAAAAAAGGGGGGACACATATGATTTCCTCATTGTGTATCACACTAACACATTTGAGGGAAAAATCCTCACCCATAAACTTTGGAGTTTAAAACTCAACCTTTAAAGAAATAATATTGAAGTTTCTGTTTTCTAAGATACTGATTAACTCTTTAAAAGGAGACTTTCTGAGAGCTGAGGGTAACCAAAGTGATTTTAAGTTGATTTTCACCCTCTACTACCCAGCTTTAAAGCATTAAGAGAAGTCAAGAATATTTAAGTATTTTAGGGAAAGCTTTATTATTTTTTAAAGATGCCAAGATGCTGTCTATATTTGAAAAGGTTGTCTAAAAATTCACCAAAAGCTATATTTTTTTCTTGAATTTTGACCAAGATGATATAAACTTATTTCTGGGGAGAGTGCTGAGCCCTTACCATGGAAAGTAGATGCAGAATATTATCTGAGATGAGTGTTGTCTCAATGCTTTATAAACTCATAAAAATACCTGTCTCATAAAGTAGAACTGATAAAAGTTATTGCTAGATGTATAGGGAATTTTATAAACGTATTGCCTTAGAATTCTTGGGTGGAGACCCAACCACAGTGACATTGTTGAGCAGGATATATAAAGAGAGGTAAGAGTGAAAAGGTGTCTAAGTGGAGTTCTTAAATATGGCAGGGCATGGAGAAAGCTCATCCTTAAAAGGCTGATTTTTAGGTAGGAAAAGAAGAGTAACAGAAAGGGTTTTTGTAACTAGATTTGTGACAAATATTTACCCATCATTTTCATCTGTCAAGTAGAGGATTATATCCTTAGAACTAAGCTAATAAAAATATTTAAGCTAAAAAATATTTTATTATTAGCATCAACATTTTGGAAACTTAGGAACATTTTATTTATTTGAATTTCATTTTCTCATAAATCTGAGTCCCATCACAAAGATGCTTTTCTGTGCAGCTCTTATCAGCGGCCTATGTTGGAGAGATTTCCTAATGTCATAGAGAGAGAATAAAAAAGTGCCAAAAAAGTGGGATTATTTTAAAGGGTGTCATCTTTTGAAGATGAAAAAATACAAATGAATCATCTTTGAATTGAGTCATTTAAATGTTTTCCGGTCCTTTTTCTTTCCCACAGATTGTGGAAGTCATGCCTAATATCCCTCAGCTGACTTAGTCTTTAAGGATCTTTAGCAAATTGTGTAGAAGCTGGTACATCTGTCCTTAATCTAATAGGTCCCTTATTTAACCAGTGGCTGTTGTTCTTTTGTCTGAAGGCATGTCAAAATAGTGACCCTAACAATGTGTAATAACATATGCTTACCCTTAATCGTCTACTCTCCAGGTTATATTTTCAAATGCTGTTTGAGAGGAAGACTTGTCCAGAAGGAACAAGTTGGGGACCGCATGCATGTTATTAAATATCTTAGTGGTTTCTCCTCATGTGGGACTTACAAACCCTGCGTGCCTCACAGGGCTCATGTCAGGCTCAATGGCGAACATATATAAGAAATTGGTTTGTAAGTTATGGTCCATTTCATAAGCAAGACACTATTATCACAAACTAAGAACTAATAAATAGTCACAGTCATAATTTAAACCAGTTATTGTGAAAAGAAGTGTCATAGCAGAGACACAACTGATTTTAGTAGATATTTTGGAAGCTACCAATGGCTTGTCAACTTGAGGTCATTGTATTTTATTGAAAATGATTAATATATTTCAAATTACTGAAAAAATATGAGTTCTATTTCATTTTGTATGTCATCTTGTATTTCTTTCAAGAAGTCCAATTATATTCTAGATAGTATATTATGACTTGGTCAAAATCCTTCTCGTACAAATAGGGCTTTTGTGTCCATAGCCTTGTAAAAGATACTGACTGTATCTGAAATTATTTAAGAAGAATAAGTTACCCTGCTTTATGTGTCAAAAATGGACAGTGCTCTGACATAACACTGATGTGCTTCACTGTATCCCAATGGTCTACCTTTAGGTGATACTGTCCTCATTTTTAGGCTAAGCACGTTTGATTGTTTCGTCTGTCATCTACACAGATCTCTGTTTTGTCTAGTGCTACAAATGTAACTTAAAACTTTAAACATAGAGTTTTTCTCCTATATGCCTCTGAGTAGACTGTGGTGCCTGACAGACACTGTTAGGCCATTACTTTGTTGTACCAAAGTTCTAGTGACTTAAGAAATCATTGCATCCAATGATTTTGTGGTGTCTGGGTTTGAATACTACAGTTGAGACTGTATTCAGTGATTATTACTGCACACTTTCCAAATAAAAAAATGCATTTTTATCAATTATTTTGTGTAATAAAAGCAACCTTATTTCTGTGCTAAAGTTCAACGTGTGATGGGTGGGGAACATTACGAATATTAACATGAAACTTGCATCCATTAATAATGGCATCCACCTGAAACTAATGTAGTTATATCTGTAAAAAAGAAGCATCTCTTGCCCTTTGAGACAGCATGGAGGGACCTGGAGAGCATTATGCTCAGTGAAATAAGCCAGTCAGAGAAAGACAAGTGTCACATGATCTCACTTATATGTGGAATCTAACGAACAAAATAGATCCAGAGACTTAGAAGCATGGAGCAAACTGACAAATCTCAGAGGGAAGGGGATGGGGTGGGAAGAGATTAACCAAAGAACTTATATGCATATAAGCATAACCTATGGACACAGACAATAGTGTGGTGA